GGAGTTTGGATTTATCCTGAGGGCAAGGGAAACTATGGGAGGGTTCTGGCGAGAGGGAACCCACCGGCTTGCTTCAGCAGTGGGCAGGCTGACGTGGAGAACAGGTGGAGCGGGAGTGCGGGAGCAGAGCGTGACTGGTGCGGGGTAGGGCTGTAGTGTGGAGACAGGAATATATGCAGGACGACAGCCCAGCAGGACTTACGGATGGAGGAGAGGCTGTGGAAGGGGACAGGACTGGAAAGGAGAGAACAGAGGACGGCGTTTGGGGGTTTCCAGCATCAGGGCAGACAGCTGAAAGGCAGTGCCGCATAGAGGCTGAGAGCCCAGACTCCAGGCCAGACTGCTGGGGTTCAAGTCCCAGCACTACTAGCTAGGAGTCAGGTCACCTTGGGCATGTTACTTATGTCTCTGGCCTCAGTTTTCTCAACTCTAAGAAGGGAATCCGGGCTGCTTTGAGGGTTGTATTAGATATACAAGGTGTTACCTTTCAGTATCATTAATGTGTTGGTGCCGTTTATTGAAGTGAGGGAATCTGTCAGAGAAATGGATATGGGAGTGAAGGAAATAAAAAACAATGCTTTTGATCAGTTAAATTTGAGATGCCTTTGGGCAACAAAGTAGAAATATGAAGGAGGCGGTTTGAGAATGGCTGTTTCATGTAAGAGTGGAGTGGTATTACCCTTGCCTTTCAAATTAGGGGGAAAGATCCAATTATTTCATCTGATTTCTTTTGCTTTGATTGGCAGGAGCACCAGGGGCCTTTCTGAAGGCTCATTCAAAGCAGTTGAAGAGAAAGGATTAACACTGTTTGCTGAGAGTAAAGGAAGGAATGCAGTGTGTAAAGAGATGTAGGCATTCTTTCTATTCCTTCCAGTTGCTCCCATCTGAATGAAGGTGAAGATGACAATCGAGTAGCGAAGGGCAGACCATAGAAAGTGGCTTAACTGGAGTGGGGGTGGGAGCTGACTGTGGTGAGGGGAGTTCTTGGGATGATAGGCTCTCTAGGGACAGGCTTTAAAAAAAAAGGCAGCTAACTTCAGTTGTCCACATAGTTAATAACCACTAACAGGAGTTCTCCTGTCCCTGCCTCTGGATTTGGAAAAGTATGTACAAGAGTCTGAACACAGAGTGAAAGTCGTGGCGGGGCTGTTGAATCTCAAAGCATTTTCTAAAGTAACATTTTTGTTTGATTTCAAAGCAAATATATAGAACTTGGAAAATACAGTAATATATAAAAAAGAACGTTGTAGTTATGTTATGATATACCCTTATAGTTCATTTTTGTAAATAATGTAATTTTTAAACATATTTTCACGTAGTGCTCTATGATCTTAGGATCTTTACTCAGTAATCTTTTCCCATATCATTACATGATACACTTATTATTGTTAAATGGCTATATAGTATTCTAGTCTATGAATGAACCATAACTTATTTACTAATTATTTGTTTTTTAGAATTTCCAAATTTTTTACTTTTATGAGTAAAATGCTTTGAAATTTATATAGATAAATCTTTCTACTCACACACAATTATTTCCTTAGGATTTTTGCTAGAACCAAACTTGCATATTTTTAAGGTTTTTAATGCAAAATGACTCATTGACCTCCAATAAGATTATACTGATTTTCAAACTTAACAGTATATGTAAATACCCATCTCTCATAGCCAGTACTGGGTATTATAATGAAAAAAGAAAACAAAAGTTACTTGTTTAATTGATAACAAATTGTATCCCTGCATATCCCTCTTTGTATTCTTTCCTTTGTGACTTGCCTGCAGGGCCTTTTGCCCACGGTACTAATGGCATGTTAATCTTTTCCTGGTTCCTTCTTTCCTAATATTTTATCTGGAAATAATTTCCAAATACTCTGCTTCTCATCAAAACCTGTACCTAGCTATAGCAACCATTTGTGACTTTTGCCTTGTCCAATCTTTTCCGTAGAATTGTCCCTCAGCATTTTACTGTCAGCAAGAGCTTCCCTTCTTCCCATTTTAAAAAAATGTATTATTGGTATGGACCCATGAGCTCCTATTTTTCAGTGGTTTATAATTTAATACTAAGTTAATTTGATACACAGGTTTTCTTGGCTTAGCTACCTCGAACCCCTTCAAGCTGGCTTGGGGGCCGGGGAACATGATCCCATCATCTTTTATAAGCGCTTTCTTCCTTTTTGGTATAACAAGAGGTGTCAGATATACCTGCACTTTCCCACCGTTGGAGTGAGCCATTTCTCTGAGGAGTCCTTCCTTTGAATGGGGAATGGTATTAGAGACCAAGATCTATGTTCTATTGTATGCTCCTGAGCTATTTGATTCTGGTGATGGTTTCATTGGGCTTATACTTAAGTCCAACCTATCAAATTGTATGCAGTTCATTGTATGTCAGTACAATACCTTAATAAAGCCATTTTACAAAAATACGATAATAAAGGAAGTAACACATTTTATAAAGACATTTTTCCCAAAAAAATACTAAAATATGTGTTCAGGAATAAAACTTGGATAATAAAACTCCAAAGAAAAATAAAGTGATAACCATAAAATTCATGAGAATGGCTTTTTTTAGGGTAAAGGGACTTTGCTGTGTTGGGACCAGGAATCTGAAGCTTCTAGGGTAGCTGGTAAAGTTTTATTTTTTGACCTGGATGGTAGTTATAAGAGTGTTCTTTTGATAATAATTATTATATTATGTATTTTAGATGTAATTTCATATATTTAATATTTTACATAAAATATTTTCTATTTTACTATAAAAAGGTTTAAAAATAAATGAATGTTATTCATGTGCATGATGTTTTAAAATTATTTATGGGAAACTAAAGTCATTCTGCAAATAAGGCAAACTCATTGATAATCTAAGTAACATTTCATTGTACAGTATAAGCTGTTTTACTATACATTCAGATAATCACTTGAGGAGTCTATAAAAACTTAATTTGGAATATTAATCATTCTTCATATAGCAACTTTTTGAGTATTGTTACAACACCCAAATTATATAAGATCAAGACAAATGTTTATTTTAGTTTTAGAATTTCCATTTACTTCTTTTCAATAGTTTCTGTTTCTCTGCTAAGATTTTTTAAAATCTTTTCATTAATTAGAATAGATTCTGTGAACAGAATTATAATTGCCCCTTTAACCATCTTTGTCCACTAATTTCAATATTTGATTCATTTCAGAGCCAGTCCCTATTAACTATCTTTTCTGTTGAGAACAGGTTATACTTTTCTGTTTCTTCCTATGTTGAGTAATTTTTATTCTGGACATTGTGAATATTATGATACGGAGATACTTGATTCTGTTCTATTTTTCCAAATAATAGTGGGGGTGGTGTTGCTTTAGCAAACAATTAATTTGGTTGGCCTCCCAGTTCAGTTCTTGTATTTTAACTAGGCTGGTTGGAATCTGCCCTGTGCACATGTAGTTCTGAGCTCAGCCAGACATGTGGGAGGAGTTTATATGCAGCATTCGTGACTCCCTCTCTCTGGCTCTCTCCTATTCAGGGTTTGCCCTTTACTTTATAGCAGCTGTGGTTTCCCCAAACACTGTCCTTTAGTTCTTCATGCCAGAACCATCATGAGTTTGCTACCAGCTTTTTTATCAGAATTTTAGTTTCCCCCACATGATGCAGACTGGAGCCTGCCCTCAAGTGTAAAAATCATTAAGCAAATAAATAAAAACATGATACTGTGCTGTCACCTCACTCCAAGTGTTAACTTTCCTCCAGAATCTGCCTGCTTTGGGTCACTTTCCAATACCTTCACTTAGGAGTCTTGTCTTTTCTTTTCTTTCTTTTCTTTTCTTTTCTTTTTTTTCTTTTCTTTTCTTTTTTTTCTTTTCTTTTCTTTTCTTTTCTTTTCTTTTCTTTTTTCTTTTCTGTCTTTTCTTTCTCTCTCTCTCTCTCTCTCTCTCTCTCTCTCTC